AGGAGAAGATAAAGGAAAAAGAAAAAAACGAAGAAACATATATGAACATGAATTTACAAAATTTAAATATTTATATAATAAAGAAGTATCAAGACATTTTTGAAATGAAAAAATAATATAAACTAAATGCAGAAGCATTAATGCTTTTACTTCTTTTGCAGTCTGAGTGGTTCTACTAAAAAATTAATATTAATTTGTGGAAAATATGTTTAAGATATAAAACGTCGCATTTTTGTTCCATGTCTACAAATTGTTTGTTATATAAACGTAGAGAAAACAGGAAAAGAAGAAAAGAAAGAGCGAGAAAAGGAGATCGAGAGAAAAGAGGAGAAACGGAGAAAGAGAGAGATGAAAATAACTATAAGGGAGACGCGAGAAGGAAAAGGAGGAGGAGGAGAAGAGGAGAGACGAATGGATCATGTAGGGGGTGGCGCACAAAGACTGCGCAAAACACACAAACAGGCGTATTACAATAATGGCCGTGCGTGTTGTACAAATACGATATCGGCTTGAGGGGTCCACTGCACGGGCACGTGACCCTCTCAAAGGGCTCGCATAACGAACACCCCCGACGGCGAGGCACCCCCGTCGGGTCGCTCGTGTTCCGCGACCAGTTAGCGGGGTTAACTTACAACCCCGCGGCTAACACGCTCTCGACCCCTGAGAGTTAGCTTTTTTCCTCGTTTTATTATGCTTTTTTTTTCCTTTTTTTTCCCCCCTCGACGATTACTCGGTAATTTCGCCCGTTTTCCGCGTTTTTAGGGGACAAAAATTTACGGCGCGCATTGTAATTTGGACCTTCATTAGAAGCAAGTTGGCAGATTTAAGTTGATAATGACGTTGTAACGTGATAATGAATTCGCCGAGCAGAATCTCAAATAATTGAGCCTAGGAGACTACTATTAACTTCCTGTTCCAGAATTATGAAAATTAGAAACAAGATGAAGCGCGATAATTCTTTTATAAAAATTATAAAGAGAAAACTTATTAGCGAGTCAATTAAACATTATTTTGACAATTAAACTGTTTCCGAAATTTGAATAAATTATTTTCATATTCTTACAATTATTATGAATATAATTAAATAAAATTCTCTCTCTCTCTCTCTCTCTCTCTCTCTCTCTCTCTCTCTCTCTCTCTCTCTCTAAAAGAGTAAATTATTTATGTTATAGACACACACATAAATAACTGACATTAAACGTTCTATAATAAGTTTTCGCCTTTAGTTTAATCATTTGCATTACGTAAGTCGATTGTCTTCAATTTTCTGTTATATTAAATAAATTCAGAAAGTTAATTATATTTTTGATTATCATCTTTATAATACTTAATTATAGTTATCTTTATAATACTTAATTATATAGTAAACTTTGGCGATTCCTTTGCAAGCGTAGGACAATTAATTTCGCGACGATACGCTTGCATGGGAAAATTTCATGTATCGACTATAGGCGAGTATTCATTCTCATTAATAACTGTCTGTATCCTCGGCCTTTATCGTTCGTGTTTTATCGAGGGTTTTTTTCACACTAGATTTCCATAATAATAAAGAGAAACGCGCCACGATATCGATGACGTCGTCAATACGTTTCGCATAGTTGACAATTCGTAAGGGAGGAACGCCGATTCAAATGAACCAGTAAGGGCGTGTAATAGAGGGTGTATATTCGAAAACTATTATGGGTACGTCTCATGTACTTCGACACGTGCTGTTGCAAGTTGTAAATTACTTGTGTGCGTATTTCCCGTAAGTTCAGCCGCAGACAGGAGTCAGGGGACAAATGGACAAAGAAACTATTTTTTAAAACTTCATCACATATCTTAATTCTGATAGTTTTGTAGATTAATTATTTCCTAAACTAAATTATGTATAAGAATAAAAAATTTTATGTTTCTGAAAAAAATTGTACAAATTTCCACATTTTTGGAATTTGTTTATAGCTAATTTTGTATAGAAACAAGTCACAAATATGAATTATAAGTTTTTATCACTTTTTTAATCATCTAAATTCTAAATAGATCATATTTTTATCGGTATTAATAGAATGCAATAATTAATTTTCAAAAAATAAGAGATGTCTCTTCAGAAGATCCATGTTATAATAGTATCGGTGATTATCTTCTAATATTTAATATTTTAACTTATTTATGTTAAATTGATTGAAAAGAAATAGTATTTTAAGAGGAAAAGGAATAGAATTCTTTAAGAAGAATTATTAAAATAGATTAGTTTTATAATGATGGTTTTCTAATAAAGCGCTTAGTTCTTTTTATGAAAGAAATGTTTCATATAGGCACGTATTGTGGTATGTCTAATTTAATTACGCGTCAATATTTTAGATTATGACTGTATTTCAATTGCTGTCAGGACAGTGGATAAGTACTTTGTCAGGTGAGGCCTGTATTTACACGACTGACACAAAATTGACGTGTGAAGTACGCACTTGTGTCTGACAGGGTGGCCTTCAACAGGAACGACATGAAGTCGGGGTAAAATCTATTATCTGAATATACGCAGTTTCTGTTTATAGAAAAATCGTTGCAAGACAAATTTAATCTTAATTCGAAGAAGTTCTTTAATAAATTAAACCGACGTCTTTATTATAAAAGAATTCATGTTTTATAAAAATAACTTCGGTTTACTTTATTTTTTTTTTTTGTGAAAGCAGCGGAAATAATAACATAAAATTCATATATATTTTAATTATTTGTCGTATGGAGATTGAAAATAAAAATGAAACAAACTTTAGCAATTGTAAAAAAGATTATAAGAAATAAATATAAGTTAACTAACGACTTTTCTAAAATTTAAGAACTGCAATCCAATTACATCAGGCGCTGTAGGAATATCTACTCCACGGCGCAAGTTTCAGATTTAAAGTGGAATTATGATATTGCAGATATTGCAGGGAAATTATTATATTGCATATTCAAATTTTCTTTTTTAAACTTTAAATTTAAACATTTAATAATAATAAATATTATTAAAAAGCATTAATTTTTGTAAAATAAAAATTTTTAATAAGATTAAAAATTAGTTATAAGTCGTTTATAACATTTATAGTATTTATTTATAATATTAATATCTGTATACATATTATATATACATATATAATATAATTATAAATGCCGTTCTTTTCCCATACCGTTTGCTTTCGAGAGAAGCGACAGACGATGAAACTTTTAGTCGAGTTGTAAGAACCCAACAGAAGGTAAGAACGAAAGCTAGACTTTATATCGATTATAATCAAAAGTGTATCTTCTGCAGTTAACTCTTGCACAAATTATACCATTTGATGATATGTAAATAAAAGTCTAAATCTGCTGATAAATTCTTTTGTTTACAAATATATCTATAAGCAAAATACAATTTTGCGTATTTAATTATAAAAGAGTAATTGTAAATCGTACAATATAAAAGAATATAAAAGAATCGAAAGTTATTTTAAAGATAAAAAACAATTATATTTTTAGTAGATATGTAAAATATACAATGGTTTTCTATACGTGTAAAAAAGATACTTTACATGAAGTGACAGGAGCATTATAAAGTAATACTTCTTTAATTTAAACTTTACAAAAGTGACAGAAGTATGTATAAGAAAAATAAAAAGAGAGATAAAAAAATGCTGATGTATTTTATAGCTTTGTTACTGATACAGTGAAGAAGTATTAAATACGAAGCATTATACTTTATACTTAATATTTTGAAAAAAGATGTATTATTTTTTTTAACAACACTAAAACTTTTATTGTAAATTATAAAAGGGAATAAAGAAAGTTTTATTGACGAGAAAGTTTTATCAAACGTATTCTAAATGATCTCGTGTTTTGTTCGCCGCCTTATATAGTGCCATGCATATAAATTCAAAGCCGTCGCACTTGAAGTGTCCAAAAACAAACAAACAGCAAGTTAAACAAATGCAAATCGCACCTGGCATGTGACCAATATCAGCAATCGATTTTGTAGCCCGCGATGCCTTTCAAGAAATTCAGGCCGAAGTTCTCTATCTACCAAGTTTGCATTACTATACTCGAAGCAAGACATTTGCCACAAAATGCGAACCCGCTGGTCGTCGTCAAAGTTGGAAATCGCAAGAGAAGGACAGTGATACGTGAGAAGACTGGCAATCCTATTTATAACGAGGTGAAATTATCCAATCTATCAAAACTAATTTATATGAATCGTTCAATTTGAAATTATAAGTTAGAATGTACCGACTGGACAGACATCTGCACAATCTTTGAGTACTTAAATGTTAAAATCTTTGTTAACCTAAATCTTAAAATTTAAAACTTAAAACTGAAAGTTTAAAGATTTTAAATTCGTTCCCAGAATTCTTGAGTTCTCTAAATCTTGTAAATTGTAAATATGTATAGGACACGTGTAGGACATATCTATATATAGAAACTTATATATATTTCTAAACTTAAAATAGTTTTGAAGTTTTTAGACTCTATCCAATTTCATAAATTAAAAATTAAATTTGTTCATTTATTTTAAAACATTTGCAATTTGTGGTTAAAATGATATCATAGATTATGAAAATTTTAGAAACTTGTCAAGTTATGCAATATTCTTGCAGATATGAATCTTTTAAATTCAAGAACTTTAGAGTCTATTACGGTTGAAGATTTTGTATGTTAAGCTTTCCTGAAATTTTTCTGACATTCAACTTTCGGAATACTATGTGCGTGAACAAAGATATTCTATTCATGTGGACTTACATATTTACCTTTTGCCTTTTAAATACACAGTACTTCGTATTCGACTTCACATGCAGTTTGGACAATCTGCTAAACACGAGAATCACGATAGCGGTCTATCTGCGCAACTTTGTTCGACTAAAGTTTCACGGAAACACTTCCTTCGAAGTTGCCACAGTATGGGAACAACCAGGTTACCAAAAAGAAAAATAAAAAGAGAGATAAAGAAAATACGGATGTACTTTATAGCTTTGTTACTGATACAGTGAATTAAAAGGAAGAGATAAATTCTTTCTAAGTGGCAAACAGCTTAAGGGAGTTGGAAGGTCATAAATGCTTGAAAATTGTACTTACTTTAACAATTTTTTATAAAAAACTGAATAAATACATAACAGCAAAGTTTTGAGCTATTTATACAACAAATAAAAAGTAAAAAAAAATACATTGTTTCAACAAATATAAATATATGATATATGTATATGTGTATAACTACACTGTTAAAAATATTATGAAGTTTAATATACTTTTAAGTTATACAGGTTGAATTTAATTTCATAACATTACATTACATTAAATTTAATGTAATTGCTACTGAAAAGTATATTTGTGTACATGTACATAAAATTTAATGTACTTTTCGTAAAATTTTATGAAATTTAATGTACTTTAAAATTTTATATGGATTAACCACTGTAACTTAGTTTTCAGTTAAACCATTCATTATTTTTTATAAAAAAGTTACTTTATAACCAAGCTTCCTTTACATGTTACTTGAATTCATAAGAAAATTTCTCTCTCTGACAATGTAAAATATACTCTATTTCTTCTTCGAGATCATGGTTTTGCAATGATATCTCCTTTCGCGATAATCCGATTATGGCGCATTTTAGCTAGAAGTATACAGAAGATTTGCCGCTATCCAGTGAATCATGAATAATGCCGTTAAAATATTTCGTTTTACGAGATTAATTCTTTAGTATAAAAAAGCTAAACAAAAATTGAGTTTCTTAAAATAATTCCTGTCATTCTGCTAATTTTTATTTGATTTATTTTGTAGCGAATTATTAGATAACGGCAAATTTTCCGAAGATTTTTAATTAAAATTGGACCACTGAAAACTATCTGCGAACAACTAAAAAGGAACGAAATATATTATATATATGTATATATGTATAGTACATTTATATTTGTTAAAAGATTTTTTTTCTATTCTTTATATGAATATTGCATAAATGTTACTCGAACTAAGCATTTGCCAATAAAAAACTGAATATATATATATATCGTATATGATTATTTGACTGTTTATTTTGTATGAATATCGCTCAACACATTTTCGCACATTTCTTCAATTACTTATACAAAATTATCAAAGATTTCGAGCAATCTGACCCCCTCCAGTTACCTTAATTATCCGAAAAGTGTAAGCACTTCTGTTTACAAATAAAAATGAAGAAATATCTCAGACATCGGAGAAACGCTTCAGAAATAAAAAATAAATACGTCGATTTATCAAGAAGCACTTTCAAGTTGTATGTGTTGCTTCTGTGTGTAGATCGTCAATACTATCATAAGTGGGCTGTGTTGACAGATCCAAAGGATCTGTCGGCAGGTCCGAAGGGTTACGTAAAGTGCAACATCACGGTGAACGTCAAGGATGAGAAAGTCAAGGTGCATCCAGAAATATTAGATGAAGATGATATCGAAGGGTAATCCCTCCCAAAAGATAAATTCCCATCTCATTGACATATCCGCAATTAACACCAAGTGGCTTATCAGAATTTCCATTGTTTGCTTGAATTTTGCGCTTGAACGTAGAAACCTCCTGCTTCCTATCGGTGGTGAGAAACTGCCGTTCAGGCAACGTGCTCGATACGTTTTCATTGTTTATCGCGCCGACGGTTTACCCGACATGAGCAGCTTGTGCAGAAAAACCGATTTCGAGAATATTAATCCCTACGTGCAAATATCATTCGCTGGAATGAAGGTACGAAAGAGTTCATTGTAGGGCTCTTATTTTCACGGGGAGATAAAATTTCAAAACGTCTTTAATTCCTACGGGAATAAATGTATAACACATTAGGTGTTTAATGCATAAACTTTGCTACTACCGACGAGAAGTATTTATTTAGAGGAGACACGGCCATACACGGCCGAACCAACAAACAATTACTACAGGTCGCAGTGTTTTCAGGGAACAACGAGTGAAGCATGGCAAACCTACCGTCCGAAATTCTACGAGGCTATAATTTTCAAGGAGATGTTCCCCGTTCTCTGCCATCGTGTGAGAATCACTATAAAACACCGTATCGACAGCTGCCGGACTTGCACCGTAGCAGTACATATCCTGGATATAACAAAGATCTCGAATTCCGGAGAGTATGGTGAGATCATCGAATGATTCTCTCTCGTTGTCAAGAATAAAAAACGGCGTAATGTAATTTGCTGCCGGATAAAGTATTATAAATTTGGAATAAATAAATATATTTACACACGTATACTAAGAGATACATTTTTGATATTTGTGACTAATAATTACATGTTATCACAATTATGATTATTACTTCTTTAATGTTAGTAATAATAACTTATGTATAACGTTTATGTATAAATACGTAGAGCTTTATCAATAAATATACATATAAAGTTGGCACCAAAAATGACAGTTAAATTATATACATATAGTTAAATTATTGTAGTTGCAATTATTTTTTTGTAATAATAATATATGTACACATATATATATATATAACTATAATTTATAGTCACTTTCAATGCCAACTGAATGTATTTGTTGATAGAACTATACTATACATATATAGTTCTATCAACGTTATGCTTAAAATTACAACAGCAATAATTATAATAATTATAATAATAAGTATTAAGCTTTTCATTTTTATACTTATTTCTGTTATAATGTTATAATTGTATTTATATTTCTAGAAAGACACGTAGTTTAAAAAATATTTAATTAATATAAAAAAAAAGACAGTTAAATTGTAATAATTGTAATCACTTTTTTCTTTTATTGTGTCTTTATCTCCCAATATCTTCAATATCTCTACTCCAAATACAATAAATTGTTTACAATATAAATTTATATATTTTAAATATTTTTATATTACGATAAAATCTGATATAAAAAGATAAATATCTACACAAATAAACTTCCAAATATAAAGTTCGAGATCAATTCTTATTAATGTCATTTAAACATACGCTCACTAATATGTACAAAGTTCAAGTAAATGTTAGAAAGTAATAAAGAAAGAGTGCGACGTGAAAAATTGCAAAAGGTAGTATTTGTCCTGCCAACAGGATTCCTGCCGACTTACGGGCCGTCTTTCATCCACTTTTACGGATCCGGCTCCGTGGAAAAGAACGGCTGCTCGGGCAAATGCTTGACGGCAATGCCTTTGTATCGCGGAAGGGTGCTTCTGTCGCTGAAAACTGAAATGGATGACCCAGAAGCATCCCCCGGAATCGGAGTTAAAACCGTTTCAGCATCTCCCATTATTGAAGTGATTAGATTTGTTGTTATGCTTCACTTTTGCGACAATTTATTCTATTTATAGTTAAAATTTGATATATTTCCTTATAAAAAATTGGTTTTTTGCAACAATAATTTTTGATCCTACAAAAGTTTCTGACATGAAATTAATTTATTTTACTATATTCTTAATCTTCAGTATCCACAAAGGGTTAACGTAATCCTCCCGATTTTCATAGTTCAGACGTTTTTTTTTCGATCCCTTTTTACTTCTTGCAAAATATCTTTTGTGCTACGACATTTTATACTTTCTAACTTAAAAATTCTTTTTTTTTTCAGTTTTCAAACGATAGATTAAAAAAAAGTTTAGTTAAAATCGTTGCACTACAATCTGAGATGTAAGCAAAAGAAAACGCTGAGTTACAAATACCCAGATATGGATAGATAGGAACTTTTTTGAGATGTGGGTACTGAGAGTTAACAAATATAGTAAAACAATGCCTAAGTATCTTTGAAATCTAATTTATTCAAATAGATCATTCTAATAAATCATTTCTTTCTAATTAAAAAGAAAAAAATATGCTTTGATTGAATAAAATGTAAAGATTTATACGGAATTAAAAAAAAATTACAAACACTGAAATAAAATAAAATAATTTCTTCGAATTATTTGTAATAAGAGAATTATGAAAACTTATATTTAAAAAATACAGAAAAGCTTATGGTCGACTGAGGAATATCTTTTGGTCGGAGTACTATACGACGTGTGTTTGATCGACCGTTCTAGATTTAAATCAAAATTAATCAGCTTTGAATTGAGTCTGGGAAACGCGGGAAATCGACAATTCTCGCATAGTCAATGCATGGAAAATAATGACAACCAATCAGGTGCTCTATAAACTTTTATTCTTGCTCATCACATTATTGCGTCTGTCCGAAAAACGTTTTAACACTAAATGTGACTGTGGAAACGGAAATGAGAATTTAGAGGAGACAATTTGTTTCAAATACCTAGTATTTTTCTTTCACCTACCGCAAATGCAGTCGCCATCGATTGCGATTTCTATAGGGTGGTTCCCGATAAGAGAGACAAATTTTCGGGTCTGGTGGAGGAGACGACTGTTTTAAGGTGCAAAATTTATGTTGTGCAACTTACTACTTTTCCTCTATCTGCAACGGCATTTCTACGGATTTGTCGCTGTTGGTTACAGTCACTCTGTATTTGTCTCATGTGAATTATGCTTTTAACATCAACGCAAGATGGGAAGTAGAAAGTCACATTTAGCATTGAGACGTGCGATAAAAATATTCTTTTCCTCGTTTATTTTTGCCTTCGGCAGAAATCGAATTGCTGAAAAAGCGATTAAACTTCGAGAGTCAATCAGCCCCGCGAACAACCGGCACTTTGGACGGCAAATATAATTATATACCTTTGGGATCCAGAAAACCTTGTTTATATGTGAGATCTTGGTGGCCAAATTTGGAATGGAGAATGAATAACAACAATAATCTTCGTTATATTTCTAATTTTTTGGTATATTGCAATTAGATGTCATTAAAAATGCGTAAATGTTTAATTGGAATAGATTTCAAATATTATTTCAAAATCAGATTATAAAAATTACGATGTACTCGTATTTACGTTATTAAAATTTTACTTTAAAACTAAACTACACTATTAAAATTATAGCGTATTAGTTTTTTTTATTTACGTTATTAAAATTTCACTTTAAAACTAAACTACGCTATTAGAATTATAGCGTATTAATTTTTTAAATATTAATTTCAATATAATTCAGTTTAATTTCAATAAAATTAGAATTATTTTATTAAAATTTATTTCAATACATTTATTTTTTAATAAATTAATTTTAATTTTATTAAAGTTAATTTTAATAAAATTAATACACTCTAATTAGTTATTATTAAATCCTTATTATTGTTATTACTTATTGTTAAATATTAGCTAAAATCAATATAATCTTAAGTAAATTTTTAAACATCTTAACGTATTGGAATTATTTAATGCCAAATACAATTTGTGTGAATTAGGGGAACATTGTAAATTATTTTAATCTGATTTTAGGAGACAAGATTAGAGAAACTGGAGACTCTTATGGCTGTTGAGAATCCTATAGCTTTCGAAGCTTACAATGAAACTATTCGCACATTAAAAGCTCACTGTGTGCGATATTTAGACGCGTTGGACACTGACAGGTATGAATCCAAAGGAGGAACCACTAAACTTGATCGTCATCGTGCAAGTTTGTGCCGTAAAAATGTCGAAGATGTACTTACGAGGATTAAGATCAACGGTGAACTTCCTAATAACAATTACATGAGGATTGCGATGATTCATGCGTATCATTATTATAAAAAATTGAGGAATCTGTGCGATGATGTAAGTTAACAACGTAGCTTCCACCAAGAAAATGTAAAGTTAAAAGAGAAATGACGCAAATCTTATTTCTTAACCTTTTGTGGACCAGATTTGAGATCTTCTCCCCTCTTTTTTTTTTTATAAATCGCTTGCTTAGTTTCTTTGAAGCTATGGAGTAATTTAATAATGATTTATTCGTGTCTGAATGTCAAAAATAAGAAATTCAGAACACTTAGCACGGTGGATAGAATTAAAGAAAAAGATAATTTGATTAATACAAAGCTCGATTTGAGTGTTTAGTAATATCAAGTTTTCAGTTTCGCTTTATTTAAAACTTTCGATGATAAATGATTTCCAAATTGACAATCAAACTCTGATTATGAACCTTGTGATGCTCTAAATCCTTCTTCATTACTACACAATAGGCGGACAATATTTTTTCATTAAATATACATTGTATATTTTATTGTAAAATTAATAATGATTAACGGTTTATTTAATATTTATTATATATTATTTATTCATTTCAAATAATGAATATTTCAAATAAAGAAAATATTTATTAAACATTTATATAGTGTTTATTTAATAATATTTATGTCACATTAATAATTTATTTGTAATAATGATCTAAAAAGAAATTTATTTAAAATTAATTTAATATTTGTGTTACATTTATAATTCATTTGCAATAATGATTTGAAGATATATATATATATATATATATATATATATATATAAAGTACTATTGTAAAATCATATGTTGGTAATGGATAACTACCATGACAAATCGATGTATGAAAAATTTCTTCTAGATATTTTACGATTTCGACTATACATGATTATTTGATATATTGTTCAATCAGCCCCAACACAGTCTTCCGGATGTTTTTGTCTGGATGATCGCTGGCTCGAAACGAGTCGCATACTCGCGTCTGTCAGCCGAGCAGATCGTCTACTCTGAGGAAGCGACCAAAATGGGCGGGAAATGCGGTCGGCGAATCAATCTGTTCCCCAGGAATCCGGACGACGAAAGCGAGCCTGTCGAATATAGCGCCTGCAAAATCGAGGCATTTTTGTGGCTCGGCAATGCGAGGTACGCCGCCGCGTGTTGGAGTGCAATTCCGCCGGGATACGAGATCGATCACGGCAGAAATGTCGACACGTTCCCGAAGTACATCGAGTACAATCAGTTCTCGGTAAGAGACGAGTGAAAAGATAGCGACAGGGCATTACGATGCACGAAATGCACAAATTGATCGCGAGCGTAACGCTTGATTTTCAAGAGAAATCAGATTGACGCGTCTCGACAGACATTAAGGATGTTTTTTTGCCAATATCAGCTAAAAATATCAGCGAAAATATCAGTAAAAAGAGCCAATATTGACAAAAAATTTTTGTCATAAATATACTGCCTCGAAATCAATTAAAAAAGACAAAACAACAAGTAATTCGGCTTATAATTTGCAGCGAAATAACTACATTTTGCTATAATTTTAGGTAAATAATTTTTAAGTAATAAATGTAAGTGAATTCAAATAAATTTTGTACGATTTATTAGTTTTTTTTAGTATATAAAAGAATTTGATTTAATTCATAATGCTACAGCTTCATCCAATTTGCAAATAAATACAAATTACAAAACGCGATTTTACATAAGAATTAAGACAAATAAAGAAATTTTAAATAAATTTTAATCAATAAGAGAACTGTCTTCAAATTTTATATAATACTTAGAAATGTAATAGAATAATCCATAAAATTTTTATATTATTGCTAATGCTCTCGAGATATGACACATATATTCAATTCTTAACGCTAGAAATATCATCGTTTCTCATTTAAAATTTCTTATTAAAAGAAAATGAAGTGAATAAATTATTATAAAAATAAAAATGTGGTAAAAAACCAAACATTAATGAAAGACATAGTTATTGAAAAATAAAGAATTTTAACGTCATACTTTTTGCACAAAAATATGTAAAATAAATCTAGCAAATAAAAACGATCAATGATGACCGCTCGTTACTTCTAATTTGAAATGTAAATTGAAACGCGTGTAAAAATGATACTGCTACCTGAAAAAGATATATTGTGATCGTTACAGACGTTTCAGTTGAGAGCTCACATATTCCAAGGTCGCTTTGATCCCGGAATGGACGCTTCCGGCTTGTTGGATTCGTATATACGAGTCGCGTTTCAAGGATACACGGCTTCCACGCGGGTGAGTTACGTTTAACATTTTAACGGAACGTGCAAATTTCACTTTCCCGGTTTTTGAATCTTTAAAATATGAAATTTCGAGCGAGATACAACTCGTCCGCCGGGTATCGCGGCATTCTATGTCACCGTGGTGATCATACCATGTATGCATACACGGTCAGGATGCCGTGAAATTTCTGTGGTGTGTATTCCTATGACATTTCACTTGAAACGCGCGAGAGTAACGACCGATGTAATACGAGCGTGATTAATGTTGCACGCGCAACGTTCCGTTCGTTCGCTGTATGAGAGTGACAAATATTAAAATTTACGGTTTGTTGCGACTGTATTTGCTACTTAAAAGCGTTGTAATGCCGCTTGATTTGAAACCGATTCGTTCCATATTAACGAGATAATGCATGACTGACAAGTTGATATCAGCAACATTAATTTATCATCGTTACCCTGATATTATGTGATTAATAAGATCTAATTGATGATTAATTAAGTTGCAATAGACTGTTTAAAAATGTAGTTCAATATTTATCCTGTCAATGTAATTGATGATAATTATCAAGGAAGAAACTTTTTTTTTAGATTATTTTAAATTATTCACCATTTTTAAGATGCTTATTAACATCAATATTGTCTATTAAATTGCTCAATTTAATATGCGATATTACTATACTATTGTAATGATTGCGCCGTTTCAAGACTAAACGAGATTTGGCACGCGATTTCCTGGATTGGATATGTATATGATTTCATACCGAGAAATATTGAAGAACTAACATTTAACCAAAAATAGAATTATTCTTCTGAATTGAATTACTTTTTAAATACTAGTTGCTCCACTTTTACTGAATTATGATTACAATTAGATATGTTAAGTTCCAAATTTTTCTAATTAAATAAAACTAATTTTTTAGTTTTAATTTTAAGTTAAAATTTTCAAAAAAGGCCAAGTTATAAAAATTCTTTATCGATTCTAGTTAACAATTCTTTATTATTATGCTCTTTTAAAGCTTTTTATCGTTTATTTTTTATATAGTGTGTTTTAAAATACAATATAAGTACACTGCTGTGCAAAACTATATTGAAAGTTGCAATTAAATTATTAGTTCTATTATGTTTATGTTGACCTTTCATATTTTTGCATTAAGATTTTTATTATATTGTTAAGATTTCTAGTTAATCTCTAAAATACGGTAGTGTCATTAAAATATTATACAGATTATATGACATTTGGTAAAGAATAATATATAATTAGACCGAAATTATTTTAAATAATAAAAAATATTTTTAAGAAAAACGTTTGCATTTATTTAGTAAAACTTACGTTAAATTTAATTTTATACTTACGTCTTTTTTATACTTTTATAATTTTTCCAGGTGATAAGACAAAGTTTAGATCCATTTTGGGATCAGACATTAATTTTTCCTCCAATTATTTTGCATGGCAATAAGGAGTATACTAAATTTTTACCACCCGAAGTCGTCTTACAGGTTTTACAGCATGATTTATGCGTAAGCAAAAAATGATAGACTTATCAAATTTCTTAATAGTATTTCCACAAAACAAAAAAAGGAAATATGTAAAAATAAGATAAAGTAGTTTATTCAAAAAAAAGAATACAAATACAAAATAAAAATATTGAAAATATTGTTGTTTACATATATGTAGATATAATCATTTTTGATATTTTGAAGTAAAAATGAAAAAAAAAAGATTTTCGAAGTCATTCAATCAAACTTAAAAGTTATGTATTTTTTGTATACTGAAAAACTACAGAGCACGAGGGAATTCTGTGGCAAGTGTATCGCGATGCCATTAGTGAAACTCACCACGGAAACTTACTCACCGCCTGATTTTCCACCGAAATTAGAGTGGTACAAATTCCAACCACAGAAAGATTGCATCGGTTCAGTTCTCGCCGCTTTTGAGTTGATAGAAGTAAGTTATCGATTTTTCTTCACAGGACAAATATTAACACGATGTTTCAACAGTGCCATCTCTCTATTTTTATATAATACATTCTATTTAATGATCAATATTTCTGTTTTTTAATATCAGAAAGATACTATAAAACTCGACACGAAATAAATATGTAGGGTGGCCAATAACTTCCCCTTTCTTTTTTTACTAATTAGTAATCGACTAATTTGTACAAAATATCCGAAAACACATCAATTTTATTTTTCAAGAGAAATGTAATAAACACAATTGTAATAAAATTAACCCTTATGCTGTTTTAGCCTTTTTGTTAAGGTAGTTACTCTTTCAAAGATTTTAAAAATTTTGAAATTTTACAATATCAGATAAAAGTATTAATTTAAAAATCAGCCAGAGAAGCTAATATCAGTTAAAATGTTTGGCTTACACCCTAAAACCAACTGCAAAAAAATATAAAACAAATAATTTGGTTTATAACGTTTGCGTTTAGCAGAAAAAGCAGCTTTGCAACTGTTGTAAAATTCTTTAATATGATCGAATTTACTCTTACTTTAGTTGCTCACTGGACCTAAATGTATAAACGAAACATATTAAAGAATTTTTTTCTTAAAATTGTTTTCTTTGGAGATACTTGAAGATTAAAATTTATGCCAGAACGAGTCTCATACAATCCGATTTACGTTAAAAACTAATGCTGGATAAGTGGATAAGTGTTGTAGAATAACGCCGGAAACGTTTCAAAATATCTGTAACTCGGATAAGAAGCTTTATTATTCTATGAAGGCTAATGGAAAATAGCTTGAATCTTTACATAGGTAAACTCTGCAAATTTTCAATTTTACGTATTTAAAGCTTCCAAATGCGATTTTTTTTAAAAAGCATATATTGTATTAAGAGAACAAAGCTAAATTTTAAAGAAAGTTAAAATATTTTTAAAACAATATGCCCTTTGATTCTTATTGCCATTTAACGTTTTTAAAGTGATAGTTATCCTAATTAAGGGAATAAAGCAGTATAACATAACAGTTGAAACATAACTTAGCTATAGATATAAAGTACTTTTCAAAGATAATACGTTGTTCGTGGCGTTGTGTTATCTCCGTGTCTTGATTCAACGTTTCGTGAACAGTTCACTTCATCAGTGCGGGAAGCAACTTAACTGCAAACCGCAAACCACAAACCGCTTAGATTCTTTACAGAAAATCCTCGTAGAAGCCTCAAAAATATTAAAGCACTCTTAGTTTGTTGAATTTTCTTTAAAAAAGCGATAATAAAATCTAAAGGAAATGTTAAAACACTGTTATAAAAATAAAATATTATGTGTTTTAATAAAACTATTTTTTAATTTATCTTTTGTTGGATGTAGAAAGTTTATGTCAATTTACAGACTTTATATGTTTGGCTAAAGCTGTATATTCCCTTTAAAAACAAAATGAACATGTTTCGATATATTTCGCACAAATTGGTCGATTATAAAAAAACAGGAGTAAAAATACAGGATTTACTCCGTATATGTGCGTGTCTTGGATAATACATTGAGTTTTACGATGACTCTTCTTCAAAATTGAAAAATAATATATATATATACAATATATCTGCGATAATATATATATATATAAAATCACAGATAGAGAACAAAGAGATTGCGGACGTTCCGATGGATGTGTCAGTAGAGGACAAGATTTACAGCATCCCATCGGATATCAGACCGAAAATGACGAGCTACAGGCTGGAGGTAATCTTTTGGGGTGTTCGCGATATGAGAAAGATAAAATATATACCGGTACGTAGGCCGAGAATTATAGTGGAATGCGCCGGAGTGCACATCAAATCGGAGGTGATGAAGAACGCTAAGAAATTCAGCAACTTTGAGGAACCATACATTATGATCGAACTGGTAATCTTGAAATTATTTCGAGAATAGTTAATTAGTAAACTTTGTGTGTAATACATGTGTGAGACGTTTAAACTAAATATATGTACATGCGTAATTTAAGAGAAATTGATAACTTTTATTTAAAAAAAAAAAAAAAAAAAAAAAA